TACAATAAGAAATGATAATACATTAAATGCTACTGTTTATGTAATTGCCACATGTAATGTATATTGTATAGCATATACTACACTTATCCTGTGCAAAGCTTATGTATAAATATTTATGTACATATTTTGTATACCTATGAGATGTAATGTCTCTGGTTCAAATAAAATAAACAAACAAACAAATCTGGTAGCGTGCATCCCTAGTTTATTTTTCATTTAAGAAATACGATATAATTTTGAGAGTTTCCTTCGGATAAGACTTGAGGTTGGTCACAGTTCAAATCCTATAACGTTCAAAGGGCTTACATGTATATAGTAGATTTGATCATGTAACAACTTCAAGTTATATCCCAAAGAAACTAAAAATGTTATTTTATTTCTCATATTTTTATTTGTATTACAATGAAAAAATGTATTATTTAGACTCTGTTACATGTATGGAAATGCAGCATTCGTCATGTGACGTCAGTCTACACCTTCCAAAGATCTCGTGCAGTTTCTTGCCATGAAAGAAAGCCTGACAAACTTCATGTCAATGAAAATTAAATGTCAATTTCGTCAGTACTGTTATATAAGGAAAGACATAAATAAATGTAAATATACGAAATTGGTCACCATATGGTTTACATATGAAAATAGATTTGCTCCATAAACTTTAATCTGTCACCAATCGGGAAAACATAGACCAGATCCAGCATCTTAGCAAATCTGGTTGTGTGTATCCCTAGATGCATCATCTGTGCAATTTTAATCAGGTAATTAAGGCTTACAGTTACTTTGGAAAGAACCTGCTTCCCTAACTTTAACCCAGACACTGACGGTAACGCAGAGACCGATGGTGTAGCATTAGTTCCACCCGAGGTCGTCAATGCGGGCTAAAAGTAATTACCGCTATTAAGGCCTTTTCACAAATTTAAATGTAGATAAAGAATGAAAAAAATAATTTTATCTTTGAAAGCTCCTTATTACACTTACAAGCTGAGCTGACTTCGTAGATAGTTAATGGCACGTAAGGTGGTGCCTGGATCTCTATCGTGCTGCCTAATATCGTGGATTTTTGAAGAAAATTAAAGCAGAAATGGAAACAATTATATCACTCTAAAAAAAGTTTTACTTAGTAATTCATATTTACTTAAATTTGTGTATGTAAGTAATAACATATTACTTGGTTTTTACTTACAGTTTACCACTAATTACTAGCTATTACTAAAATATTTTTAAATTGCTATATTTAATTGTTTTACTTAAAACAATAAATTATTTACTGCATCAAGCAGGATTCAGAGCAGCTGCAGAACAAATTACTTAAATCTGGTAGTCTAATCACTATATACTATAATGAAAAAAAAATAAAGATATCAGAATTTTATTTTAATTCCTATATCATTTATTTCATCATTTCACATTCATATAATTGCAACCGTTTTCTTGTTTAAAAATATTTGCAAAAAATATTAGCAAACAAATAACAAATGCATTTTTGACAATGACAAAATACAATATTTTGAAAAAAACACCAACATCTGATTCATATAATACATTAAACTGTGGTACACTAAATTGTATTTAAGAATTTAACACAATTTTTTATGGAAAGTACAGATGTACTTAAATCAACTCATCAAATAATAGATAGACTGAGTGGAAATAGTTATGATGTTATGATAGGATGTCAAAGTTTAAAACTAAAGATTTTCACATCGCATATCGCATAATCAACTGTTGACATCACATAACGAGATAGAAATATTCATATAATATGACACTTATGTCTTCAGTAAGAAAGAGTTTGGCATAATAAAACTATTCTGTTTTTCTTTAAAGTAGTGCTGTAGTGATGATTTTCCACATGAAAAAATACATATTAAATATAGACCTATTTATGTCAGTTTGTTTACATGTTTGACTCTTTATGTATCACATCAACTAAATCATAAGGAATTGGGATGAATAGGTTTTGCTGTTTACCCTCATATAAATGGAGAGGACAATGTATTAGCATGTTTTCTATGTAGACCAGTTCATTACCTTGTGGTAGATCGGGTTGCTTTACCTGATATGACAATATTTCTTCACTGAAATTCAAAGTTTCAAACATATGAATATTGAAGTAAATATTCTGAATGTCAGATTCATCAACACGTTCCTTGGTAATCCAAATAGACTTAACTGTTCCAAATTCAGGCATACCATTTGCCACACCAAATGCAATTTCACATTGATCTGATACAAATTTTTTACCCTTATAAATGATCCATCCCACCTCATGAATAGATATAACTTGGTTTTCATCTATTCCAAAAAAACTTGAAAGCCTCTCTTTGCACCAGTTAATATTTTGCACAGGCTTTGTTTTGCCATACATACAGTCATTGTTAAAAAGTGGATGTTCATCACACAAATTTAATGTACATTCATACATAACACATCTATCTGAAATGGACTTTTCAATGTTTTTGAAGTTATGACAGCCAGTCATGCGTTCCTTAATAAAATTGTGTTTTGATTCAAACCTCATGGACCAGACATTACTGAGACATCCAAATTTCTCTATTGTTGAGGGTAGGTGAATAAGATAGTGTTGTTTTGGAATTACATTTTTGTCAGGGAATAAATTTGTAAATTTTCTTAGATGACTAGATATAATCACTTTCAGCATTTGTACAGACTCATATGATATAATTGGAGACATTAAAATCAGTGTAATTTCACATAGTTCTACCAAAAATGCTATGTATCTATTGCTGAAATCACAATTTAATTTTTCAATGAGGAAAAAAGGAAGTAGCCTCATAAGTACTATCATGCTAGATGCAGACTGCTTTAATGTTGTTTCATTCCCACTAAACACTTTGGCAGGAATTGTCACTGGTCTACTACTTCTATCTGCATATCCATAGCAAAAATTATCTATAACATTATTGAGCTCTATTAATGAAAAAAGTTTTACATCTAGAAGAACTTTTAATATTAACTTTATCTCATACACTGCAACACCTTCAAACATTACATGCACAATATCATGTGGTATGTGCTCAGTCAAGTTAAAATAGGGAAAATCTCTTGCAATGCTTCGAAATTAATTCCATAAGAACGAGAAATAGCATCTCTAATAGCCGTTGTTTGTGCTATTGCAAGCTCATTGCACTGATCATCATATCGTTCTAATGTTCTTTGGATAAAAAGATGTTCCTCAAAATTTGTTTGCATTTCATCAAAAGTGCATTCACAAGTCCTACATTTTTGATATGCAAATCCCACCCCTGATTTAAATCCTCCAAATTCATGTGCAGCTAAAGTGTCACCAATGAAACAAAGACAACCTCCTACAATATCATAATTATTACCATTAATGGATAATGTTATGCCATTAGAAAGTACTTCTAAATCGGTTTTAAGCCGATCTAGGACAACATTAATCCCATGCTTATTCATAACATTTCTTTTAATAACAGCCAATAAGCGTATTGCTGGTAATCGAGATCGATAAATTACAGGAAGATTTGCAAGACTGTAGTAGAAAATGCCAATTTTGTGCACTCCAGCCTGCTTATTCATGGGATTGCAAATTTCTACATCATCAAAATAAAGAATAATTGACAAACTTAATCTGTTCTGTTGAAATAGACCATTATGTCTATATGCAGAGCCAGTTCTAATATCAGAAAAAAAGCCCCGAAAAGGTAAAGAATCCTGCATAATAAGTTCAAGTTTCTCTTCATTCTGGAGAAACTGTTCAATACTTTGTGTAATAGGCACATAATAGAAAGCGTCTCTCACAACATCAAGGTTGGCATCTCCCCTTCGTCTAATGACTCTCAGTCTTTGTCCAACCTGAACAAGTTCTGGTTCCTATGAAAGAAAATTGTATATATTACAGTACATGTAAAATTGAACTTTGTTCCATTCTTAACACGGATAATGATTATGCTTCCATATCATTGCTTCAATGACGTTTTAACATTTAGAAAAAAAAAACCAACAACAATTGTGCATTCATAACAATTACAAAATTACATATATAAAGTTATATACTATACGTACAACATATAGGAAGTTCTCCTTTATAAATTTCTTTCTTTCATGCGATGTAACGACACCATGAAATGGCAGTTAGACATCAAATACTTTATTCAACTCATTAACGTGTTCAGGAATACCAGCTCCCTGCAAATATTGATGTACTTTATTCCTCAACATGTCGATGTATTTCTGTACTATACCATTAATCCCATTTGCAACAGCTTCTGCAGTAGTCTGAAATTCATAATAATAATAAACATGTGTTGCAGTTTGTACTTTAATAACAATTTCTACTTTAACATGTTTAATACAAAATCCAGAAGATATTGGACAGGTTTGAATAACTCGTATCTGATCGACTATCATCAAACAGCTCTGCAAAGAGTATTTGGAGAATCATGTCATCATTTCGTCCATCATGATATTATACAAGATTTGTATTTTGTATTTGCACAGCTCTTTCAATAAAACATAAGATGCAAACAAGTATATACCTCCCGTATCCTGTGCATTTCTTTGAGATTCATAATAAAAGACACTGCTTTGCCTGTATCGTATCTTTCACTATCGTCAAGTTCAACTTCCATAGTGTCTCCTCTTAGATTATCTTCTCTTGGATTATCTTCAGTATCTATTTATGTATATTTGCTAACTTGACATGAAAAATTTGTGAAATGTGTAAGAACTCCATGATTTCAGTTCTGGCACAACAAACGTGTAAATTTTTATGATGCGATAAAATTTTAGAGCTCTGAGATGTGGAATGAAGTAGCACAAAGTCACAAAGGTACTTCGGGGCCCTGGATCCTGCACAATACTATTGGATCAAACACGTCCACCACTTTGATGGAGAGAGAAGATGTTATCTTCAAATGTAAAGATGCAGAGGAGGCTATTTTGGCTATGCTCGGGTTATACTACTTAGGATCGTTGCCATACCCGGCACAGATAACAGGCCCACTATTATACTGTTGCAGCACCTTGTTCTGGAAGACAAGGTCCACTCAGGAGATTTGCCAACACTACAGAAGGCAAGGAAAGAATTCACTGCCTACAAGGAGAGGAGTGAAAGTCATTCCCTGGACAGTTTATTCTAAGTTCAGGTTAAATCCATACTAGTGTGATTCTTGTCCCTTTGCCAAAATAGGTAGATATGAATTTGTATTCTTTAAAGGTTTGAAATTCTCATATTATTTTTTCTGTTAGGAGGGCTAGGTGGTAATGTTATATAAGACTATTTGATCCTCCCAGAAAAGAAGAGCTGCTTAAAAGTAGGGAAGCTGGATTAAATACATGTTTCAAAACATTAAATATAGTGCATGTACTTTTTCTTGGATAAATAATATTTAAATGCTGGAAAGTTATCTTTCTGATTCAAGTTAGGTTCATTGGCAGGGTTCAAAATTCACTATATACAACTCGCAAAACACGAGTTAGAATTCCCAAATTGCAAGTTAAAAATTAGGTAACTCGCAAAAACTTGCGAGTTGATTTTTTTTGGCATTGAAACTGTAGCAAAATTATATAAGGCCAAACAAAAAAATATGTTTGTTTACTGTTACATGCTGAAATAAAATAGGGTCGGTAGGTAGGAATTATTTTTTTATTTTATTGAATTTTTTATACACAAATTTACATAAATTGGTTGAAATACAAAACAGTTTTACAATTGTGTGGTGCTTCATATGGGCGATAGACAATATCTTTCTTGCCAACTGCCTTACAACTACCACACAATGGTAATCAAATTGCAACGAACACGGCACTCGCCACTGTTTTTGTTTTCTGTACTTTCGATTTCAAACGCTTGACCAATTAAGATGCATGTAAAAGTTAAACTGACAGGTCAGTGACTTCAGGATTTTTACGACGAAAAAAAATTGGGTCGGCGATTGAAAATAAGGTCGGTCGGGTAACCGTAAACAAACATATTTTTTTTATTACGCCTAATATGACAGAACACAATACTTTTGATTTAAATCAGTAATTTAAATAAAAGTCACACTGTAGTTGTATTTTGTATATTGTACAGTAGTTACTTTTTCCTTAAAGTACATGTATTTAATTTGTATAAATTTAACTTTATATGAAAATTGCGAGTAGTCTTTTAAAATTGCTAGTTCACTTTGTTGGTACTCGCAATTATTTGCGAGTTGCAGTCTTCGCCAAATCTTTTTTTCAGTACATGCCCTTCGGGCAGGACACTAGTCCGAACAAATATTTACATGCCCAGAATTTTATCAAGTAATTTTATTCTTATTTGCCTTTTCATGGCAAGGAAATGATCCGAAATCCATTTCTATCGATCTATTGTCTCGCCATTAATATTGTTTTCATGCTGTACACTTTTTGTGTCTCCTTTGCAAAAGAGTTCCTTGGAAGTCACATATTGTTTTCAATGCGTATACTTTTTGTGTCTCCTTTGCAAAAGAGTTCCTTGGAAATCGCGGTAGAATAAACTATCGTTAAAATTTTATTTGATGCTCCACTTTAGATGAAAAATCAGACTTTTAAGTACATTTAATGTTATTGGTATTATTTAATTTGATAATACGGAATCCGAGGCTTAGGCCTCAGAATTTACATGCCTTTCGGGCTTGTAAATATGCAATTTCCACATGCCCGCTTCCAATTTTACCAGGTCCCGGGCTTCGGACTCCCGGGATTTGTCGAAGACTGGCGAGTTGTAATTTTAGGGAGTTTCTAACCCTGGTTTGATAATTTGTTAACCCCACAGCTACTTTAAGGACTAGTGGAAACTACACTCAGTGTTCAATTTTTTTGTACTGGATCATTGTTCTTCTCTGACTTGCTGTAGTTATCACATTTCAAGTAATATATATAGAACTTCTATGCATTGACTGAGTAAATCTACAACCAGGCATATGTGACTATTGTGCTATTTACAATTTGTTTTATTTGTTTTGAAAACCATTCTACAGTTTTTATTTTGAAGTGCCACCACATTTTCTAGTCATTTTTAGTATGTTATATATATTTTTTTTATTATTTAGTTTGATTTTTTTTTTTCATTTACTCTTGTTTTGATTTTTTATTTTCCTTTGATTGAAAACGTATCCAGTAATTAAAATTTATTTTTGATTGTACGTGTATTTTAATAAGTTGTGCAAATGCTTTTATTAGATTTTTTTTTAAACAATTTATACCGTTTTTCTTTTTTGTCCCAATTTTTGTATTCCATAGTGTATATTTATATTTTCTTTACCTGGTTATGTATCCATCCTATGCAAATTTTATGATGAGCCCAGTTCTTAAGGGTATTAAAAATCTTGTAAGAACTCTTTATTGTGAAATCTACATGTATTTTTTTTTTTTAAATTGATGCATAATTTTTTTAAGATTTGAACATTAATTGTTTAAATATTGTGTACTTATTTCAGATTTGTCTGTTATTTTCTCGGAAATAAAAAGCCCAGACAATTTGAGTTTTTTTTTCATATATAAATATATATATATATATATATATATATATATATATATATATATATATATATATATATATATATATATATATATATATATATATATATATATATATATATATATATTCATTCTTGTACACTTTCTAATTACTACTTAATGAGACAGGCATTGACTGTAAAGGTAGTAAAGAAGCTTTTGAAGACGCATGTAAACTGTTGTTCATGCATGGTAATTTTTCCAAGTAGATCAGAGAAACAGATTGATGATTTATTAATTTGTTGATTACAAAAGAAACCAAATTTTCAGTATTGATTACTCAGTTTTTGTAAAAATACAAATTAATATAAATAATTCTTGAAGTGTTTCTAGTAAATAATGTAGATTTTAATAAATAACAAGTATTTCATTTACTTAGTATTCTTTCTAGTAAATAATATACTAGATTTTAATAAATAACAAGTATTTCATTTACTTAGTATTCTTTCTAGTAAGTAATATACTAGATTTTTAGTATTCTTTCTAGTAAATAATATACTAGATTTTAATAAATAACAAGTATTTCATTTACTTAGTAATAATTAATAAAATTTATTAAATTTAAAGCATGTTATTTCTTAATCAAGTAATAATATTTTTCCAGAAATGAGTAGTTCATTTACTAAGTAATATAATTCATATTGTTTAAGTAATTCTGTGGATACTTAGTAAATCATTTTATAAGTAAATGAATTCATCCTAATTACTATTTATGTTTACAATTACTAAGAGTGATTGTTAATTACTTGCTATTCTGACTAAATGGATTACTATTAATTTTTAATTTTTCTTAATTTAATATCTTATTTTAAAAACAACAAGTAAAACTTTTTTTAGAGTGTACATTCACTATTTTTTCAGCTTTTGTATTTCTCATTTTAAATGAGACGAAAAAAGAAAATGCTAGTTATCTAAATATGTTCATCAAATTCAATTTATTTTACCCCAATCCATAGTAACGTTAATTCTATTGATGCTGTGGTCCCTGTCTAACCGGACCCTCCACCAAACTGTGTCTTCTGCCTCCTGTACCTTAGAGTAGGTCTGTAGGTCTCCATCCACGGCCTTACTTGAATCGAATTTCCCCGAGTAAGTATTCACTTGCCATGTGCGTTTCTGATATACTATGTTTTCTATAAAAGAGAATACCTTAATTCTATGATTTTATAAAGAATGATCAAAAAATTTATAGCATGATTACAAGCCGAAGACGATAATAAGTTTTGAATATGACTTACTGTTGGTGCATGGGATTTTCAAAATCCGGGCACATTTTATCATTAACTCTTATTACAATGACTAGTAATTACAATTACAGGATAACACACCCATAATTTGTAATCCAGAGGTGTACACACAAGAACTGGCTCCAGGGCCATAAAAATCATACAAGATCACTTTTGATCTCAGTCTCGCTTTTACAAAAGGAATTTATAGTGGAAGAGTGGGACCGACCTCAAAAGTGAGCTCATCTGATTTTTATGGTCCCAGAGTTTTATGATCGTTGCAATCCTTGAAGATGAAGTTTGATTGAAAATGTCTTTTTACTATCAGAGAGAATATGTTTTATATATTAAGGGTAAGTATAGAGAACACATTACTTGAATCCGGACAAATGTTTGGAAAGACATGTTACTCACTCAGAAGATTGAGAATTACATGAAATACACATGCGTATCTAGATAATGTACCTTTTTGGCAGTGTAAATATTTGGATCCGCCCCATCCTAAATCACAAGTCTGGCATCCGTAGTAGCAATTATTGCGACAGTGACACATACACACATCACTGGTGTTTGGTAGATGTTTACACTGACCTGTTAAAAAATTGCATAGCTTCGAAAGATTTTCAAAAGTATCTTAATTTACAATGCACAGAAAATATTGAATATCTGTCAAATATTTGATCACTTGCTGATCTCATTAGATACAAGTTAATCGGAAGGCAACAGTTTTTAACAACGCATTGCGTTTAATAGTTCCTTGGGTTTCCTTGCAGTTTGAAAGCCCAAAAAATATATGCAGATATACTAGAGGTGATCAAAAAGTTCGCGAACTATCTCTATATTTACAAAACCACTATTCAGATCAGAATGAAATTTGGCACACAAATAGTTATACATATGTTCTATAAATAGCAGATGTTAAATAATATTTTGCTCTGTGTTTGTGACGTCACAATGTGAAAATGACGTCAGTGTGTAGGTCACTTGTGACAAAAAATGATTTACTCAGTCGTGCTCGAGCAACGAACGGCTATAAAGTTTAATTAACGTATATCTCGGAAATTCCTTTGCAGTAGAACATGATAATTTGTACAAGGTTTATGAAGACAAATGACTTACCAGAAGTTCAAGCATTAATTGGATTGGATGTTTTTGTGAAGACAGGGAGATGGTTAAAAATGATGTTTGTCATGTTGCCCAGAGAAAGCAAGGCGGTAAAAAGATGTGTCCTTAGCTGAGCAATTTGTTTTGAAAGATCGCCAAGTTACTGTAAGAAAAATAGTTGAATATCTGAGCAATAATATAATTATTAAATCTCTAAAATATCGTTTACTTCAAACTTTAAACATATGAGATATGAAAAAAAGAAGGCGCCCATACTTTTTCCACAT